AGCCAACATACTACCATATTAAGTATTTTGTTTATAAATTATTTTGATAAATATTGGGTATTTAAAAAAAAGCCCAATTTTTAAATCAATTCTAGACTAAATGAATGGCCCAAACACTCAAATACCTAACCCAGTTACCCCAGCCCAAAGCCAAATGACCCATGATCAATACCCGGCCGCGACCCATTTTTAAACGACCTGCCCCATCTAATTTTTTATCTCAGCCGTTGATCTCACAAGATCAATGTCCACCGTCCCTTCCCCCTTTTTTAATTAACCTAACCCCAGAAACCCTACCCATTTCATAGAGATCGTCGCCTATCTTTGTCAGTCCTCTCTTCATCAACTAAACCCTAATCGCCGCCCCTCCCTAAAACCTTTTCTTAATCACACTAAATATGGGATTCAGTTTCCATATCTGACCCCCATTTGGCACTGGTTGTTCTCTTATGGTATTACTTAGGTGGTTGCCTAAACATGGCAAGCAAATCTCTTCTGAAAATAGAACCTAAATGGTTCAAATCTCTGATTTTAATGCTATTCTGTCTATATATGTTTAGACTACTGTATGAGTTCTTTTTTTATTGTTTAGATTCGGCTGATTTTCACTTTCCCTAAAAGCTAAGGATTATAGATCTCTATCTTAAATTTATTTTTAGATCATTTTACTTGTTTATTTACCTTGTTTGTTGCTTGAATTACTCGGTTTCCTTGATTATTGCTCGATTCTACTACTGTATGAACCCCTCCCCCATTCCCTTTTAGATAGACACTGAATCGCTAAATTTTCCACTGAAAAAAAACTAAGGCTTTTCACTCTTTGTTCTTTTATTCTCTTATAATATTTTAACTCTTGGCCGGCTGAAAGCCAAGGCCACAAGATTTCTTATCTTCAGACCTTCCTTGGTTGTGAACACTGTCCTGGTTTCTTTGAAGCCCTTGGGAACTTGACGCATCTGAGATTCTAGGTCATATTGCTGTTCTTTTCTTGTTTGTCTACCTGTTGAGCAATAGCGGGTTAGTCCTCAACCTTCACAATGTTCATTCACTTATGTTCTATTCAGCATATCCATGTTTCTGAAATTGCATGACTTGATGTAATTTCTCGACTCTCTTTAAGTGTAATTCTGTTATGATATAAACTTCTCTAGCATTAACTCACGCCTAAATCGTTAGTCCTAAAAATGTATTTGTATTTAACTTTGGCAATTTGGACAGTTTGAAGCATGTTTAGCTTAATGTATTAGTAATTTGAGTGTTTGCATTGGCTATATGACATCATCCACTTTCCTGCCTTATTCTGAATTTCTATAGGAATTAACTTATATCATTAGTATGCCTTAATCTGTTAAAACCTTCGCTCTAGCTGTAATTTGCTCCTATGACTATATTTGTCACTTAGTATGTTCTTACCCTGCCGATTCTGTACCCCTAACAGCTAATTATCTTAGACCAGTTTTTCCTGACTTATTTCCCCTATGATATGTGATTCTATGAGTTGTACTGTTTAATCTCTGTGTTTAGCATAATTTGATCCTTTAGGTTTGAACTTGTTCATTTAGTGATAAATGTTTGTCTTACTGGCCTAATGCTCCTTTGCCTATTAACTTTGTAATCCCAGATGTTTAAGACTCCTTGCTTCTTACAAATATACCCTGCCCCATTTAGTGAAAACTTGCGGTATTAACTTGTTTCTTGAGTTCATGCACCCTCTCTGTTGATATGTTCATCATGTGATCACTATGTAATGTCTGTTTCTAAAAAAATTCAAATGCACTCTTCCAAACCCTATTACTCTACTACTATTTTCATTGATTGCTTCCCTAGTTTTGAGCCTATAAGTCTTGGCAGGCTGAAAGCCATGGCCGCTAAAGCTTCTCTATTAACCTCCCTAGTGTGAGCAATGCTTGGGGTCCACTTTGATACCCTTGTGAACTACGACACATTATGGCCTGAGGTTTTTTGGCCTTTTTTTCTGATTACTCAATTTTGCCCCTCCTTTGCCTACTGAATAGGCCAATTGGTTTGTGTAAATGACTGTTTTCTTGGATCCTTTGATCAACTATGGCTGTTGGGTTTAGTCCAAGTTCTCTTGTGGTTTCTGGGCTATGTTGAGATATGTATAGAGACAAAATTGAAGGCCTGGCTAGGCTGGGTGCTTTTTGGGCCTGTCTTGGGCCTACTATAGTTATTTATATCCCTTTGTAATTTATTTCATTATTGGGCATGTAATAATTCTATAGTAACAATTGGGGTATTAGTGAAAGTTGGGAAAATGAGTCTATGATAATGTTTGCATGAAAGGGTAGAAATCCTGCCTATAGGACCTGAGTGTTTCATCTTGTTCAACATGCTCTGTTTCTATGTGTTTGATAAATAACATGCCTATAGGACATAATTAATCTCACCGGTTCACGCGTTATTATCTGCCTACTATATTGCAACACAGTGATTGTTTGTTCAATTTGCTCTATGTTAGATGTCATGCCTATAGGAGCATGTTGAGTAATAAATATTTGCTCTTCACAATGTTCACGTAGATATCATGCCTATAGGAACATAATCAAATCAGCTACTATTATTGTTATTCCCATCATATTGCTCGCAAAGAAATCATGCCCATAAGAATATAATTGAATTGGCAACTATTACTGTTTTCCCATCATATTGCTCGCCTAGAAAGCATGCCTATAAGAATATAATTGAATTGGCTACTATTACTATTATTCCCATCATATTGCTCGCCTCGAAATATGCCTATAAGGATAAAAAGATAAAGAATTAGTCTCAATGGCCAATTCCTAGAAATCCTGCCTATAGGATCATGTTGCTCGCCTAGAAAGTATGCTTTATAGTCAATGCTGGCAATTTTAAATTATCAACTATTCCATTGCCTTATTTCGCGAATGATTTAGAAAGCATGCCTATAGGATTTGTAATATTTATGATCTGCAAATTCGTTGTTCTAGGAAAGGAATATTGACGGTATGTTTAAAATTCAGAATCACATAGAAGCCATGACTATAGTATTTAAAGACACTATTTCGTCTTTTTTCTGTAATTCGTCTACTGCCTCATTATGAACCTATTAGCATGCATTTGTTGTTCACATGTGGAGGCTAAATTGAGCCATTTATTGCCCTGATGTGTAGTCCTACATGTTTTGAATGTCGCTTAGATTTATCATTTTTGCGCAACCTGAGTACAGTCTAGAACCATCCAAATAGTAGGTCCAAACCCTCCTGGGCCATAGGCATGGGGACGGGTAGTGCACACATAAGGCACGATTTAGAATCAACTAGTGCTCTTTAGGTAAAAAACTTAAAGATAGTAATCGAGTAGCAGGAGATGATAGTCTGTGCCCCCTGAATAACATGAGTAACAACCCATCTCGAGGGAGTTACGCAGTATTATTTATGTTGCAAGGGGTGATCCTTAAGGCTAAAAAACTTAGGACCCCCCATTTTATGTTTGAATCAAGTATTTGTAGTTGTTCAAAGTTTAATAATAAATTGCCTAAACTTCTTGTTTTCTCTCTGTTTATCTGGCTAATTCATATAATTCAAGTTCGGACGGGACCCACTGTTGTGGACCTCGAAGAGTGCCTAACACCTTCTCTTCGAGGTAATTTGAGCCCTTACCCGATCTTTGGTGACGTAAACTAGTTAAACCTGAGTCTTATGGAAATAGGTGCCCCAACTCACCTTAAGCCCGTTAGCTGGTGACTCTCCTCTTTTAACACCTCCTCAAAAGAGTTATCATACGTCGAAATCCGATTTTGCGAGAAAAAGGGGCGACAGGCCCCACTGCCAAATTTTCAAGCGGTGTTGGAAATTTTTATAAATTCTTAAATTCCAAGCATTGGAGTATATTTTTGATTAATTTGCACATTGTTTTGACTAGTTTCGGATTGAACGAAACCAAGTTGGGTGTTTAGAGCGAAATTGTGGTAAGAAAATGGGCTTTAAGACGAGGTAAGTCTCTTTTCTAACTTTGTAAAAGGGAACTAACCCCATATGTGAATTGATTTAATATGTGCTTCTATTTGTGGGGGCTACATATGCACGAAGTTATGAGAGTCCTTACGTAGCTACTAATTATGCTTATGTCCGGGTAGTTAGGACCCAAATTATGTTATACATGAGATGTTTGCACCCTACTTGTTAATTTAATTTCTTAACTCATATTGAAACTTTAAAAAGAAATTTTAAAAGCTTAAACTTCATTTACTTGAGTTTTGGACTATCACACCTCCTTATTCTGAGGGATGGGGAGTTTTCAAATTAAAGTGATATTAATTAAAATGGGATTATTTTTTGATTTACAGTCGCCACTTGGAATAATTTATGGTGTCCCAAGTCACCGATTTATTTTAGAATCCCAAATCAAGGAAATTTGACTATGTTTTACAGTCCGCAAAATACAGAAGACCAGGTAAGGAATTCTGTTAACCCGGGAGAAGGTGTGAGGCACTCCCGAGTTTTGTGATTTTAGCACGGTCACTCAAATATTAATAATTGGAATGATTAACTGATTAATTACATATTTAGAACCTATTGTGAGTTTTTATCATCTAACCACATTTAATATAATTTTAACTGCCTTTAATATTTATGGAATTTGTTTGAACAAGTGGCGATGTTGCGCACTCCTTTGTTTTTGTACACATTGCGAATCGCATCACATGAAACGCACTCGTGATCCACAATATGTTAACTTTATTATTGTTTGAAGTTGTGGTCGAGTCATGTGAAGCGCACACTCGAATTTGGATTTATGTATCACAACTATGCTACGGAAACCTTACCCATAGTCATGAGGATTTATTTATTAATTATGCCTAAAGCAAGCTACAATGTTCATATATTGTTCTTCTCATGCATTTGAGATTATTATGAGGTCACGAGTTATGGAAGAGAGTTGTTGAGGTAAAGGCTTAGTCATTTTATTTTTCCAAGGAACTTTATGTGTTGAGAGGGGTTTTGGCATTTAGATCGATATTGGATAATCGTCAATGAAGCATATATTGAGAAACTACTTGTTCGAACCAAACACTTTAACAAATTGAAAAGAATCATATTGATTAAACTATTACTATCAGAAGAAATGGAAATGAATATAATAGCTGATCATCACTCTAGTGGGCCCAGGCTTAAAACATTGGGCTTAGTATCCAAACCCAGCGACCTGGGGTCTGGACTTGCTTAACCAAACTCCAGATGTGCCGATTTGCTAGTCCATTCCACTTCACGTAAGTCCCTGATGGAATTGGTTCTGAAAAATAACTATACAGATTTAAATCTTCAAATTAGGCACAATGAACTTGAATCAGAATATGTACAACTAAATTAAGGATTAATTTATAAATATCGCCTATTCTATAGCTATTGTTCACAGTATGACGATTTTACACCAATAGCCAAATCCCAACCCCGCACTTTCATTTCATTCTTCACATTCCTTCAATGAAGCCTTGCCTTTATCACCTGTTCAATTATATCCTTTCTTCTCGAGCTGACTTTAATTCATAATCATAAGTATAAACTAACATCAGGAATTGCATAAGCAAACAAAAGATTAGATTCATTATGAAACTATAACTATCCTTTGAATAGCACATTATAGCAGCTCAATCAAAGGTAGACCGGTTTAACTATTGAACAACAACACACGAAATCAGATGTAAACACAACAAATCACTCGACTCTTCATTAACACATTCAAATAGAGTTATAGAAGGAGTTTCAAATACCTAGAAGCAAAATCAATAGATGAACTTGACAAATAAGAATCAGAGAAAGAAAGTGAAGATCTAGCTAGCAAAACATCAACAAGCTCACAATCAAACAAACAGCTCCAGAACTTCAAAACAATTCGAAATCCAAGGAAGAAAGTGATGCAAAAATCAGTAAAATGGAAGAGCAAAACAACTTTTGTAGCTTTTTTTTTTCTATCTATTTTTGAACCTCAAATTCTCGTTTTCAAAAAGAAATCAGGGTGAATGAAAGGAACCTGAATTTTAGAGAGATTTTTATGTCAAAATCCCATGTGACAAGGAGAGGAGGAATACCTTTTTAGAGAATGTGAACATGTGCCCATGATAGGGAATGGGAGAGAGATTAAAAGGAATCTGCCAGCACGAAAATTTTAGGGAAAATGGCATCTTTATTAACAAAAAAAATAGACAGTCGTCCAATTTCTAGATATTTCCACTCATTCTCAACTCTTTTCTTAACAAATTGGGACAATTGTCCCTTTTTCTAGAAGCTTATTTTATTCCCAGAACCTCTTAAACTTTTTTAAATTTCAATTATTATCCCAAGATTTAAATTTATTTCCCATTTTAATGTATTTCCAACCAAACAAAACAGATTTCATCATTTTCCTATTTCTTTTTGTAATGACCCGGCCGGTCAATTTGAGCTCTAGTATGTCATTTGGCGGTTTGAGGCCATTAGCAGCTCCACTTAAGGTATTATGACTTGTACGCGTGGTCAGAATTGAAATTTCGGAGTTGAATTGGAAAGAGAAATCTCATTTCGGAAGCTTCAAACTGGAAGAATTGACTAAGATTGAATTTTTGAGTAAACAACATCGGAATTGATATTTGAAGGTTCTAGCAGGTTTGAATGATGATTTTGTACTTTAACGTATGTTCGAATCGGGTTTTGGCTGACCTGGGAGCGTTTCGGCGCCTATTGTGGAAGTTAGCATCTTTGAAGAATTTCATAAATTTGGGTTGAAGTGCATTTCAATGTTATTGATATCCGTTTGGAATTTTGAGTTTGAGGATAGCCGCGTATGGTGATTTTGATATTGCGAGCGCGTTCGAAAGTGGATTTAGAGGTCCGTAGGTTATTTAGGAGTTGTTTGGTGAAAGTTAGAAATTTCAAGGTTTTTAAGAAGTTTTACTGGGAGGGGACTTTTTGATATCGGGGTCGGATTCCAATTCCGGAAGTTAGAGTAGGTCTATAATGTCAAATGTGACTTGTATGTGAAATTTGAGATCAATCGGACGTGATTTGATAGGTTATGGCATCGAATGTAGAAGTTTGAAGTTCTAAACTTCATAAAGCTTGAATTGGAGTGCTATTCATGATTTTAGCATTGTTTGATGTGATTTGAAGCCTCAAGCAGGTCCGCATTATTTTTTGGAACTGGTCGGGGTGATTGGACGGGGTCCGGGGGGCCCTGGGTGGATTTCGGGTGGTTAACAGATTGAATTCTGCCTTATGAAGATTTCTAAGCCTGATGTCATCTGGTGTAACCGCACCTGCGAGGTTTTGGCCGTAGGTGCAGAGCCGCAGAAGCGACCAAAGGGGCGTAGATGCGGTTTGGCGGGGAAGTGCAGAAAGGAACGTGCAGAAGCGAAAGTGGGCAACTAGGGGATAGATCGCAGAAGTGGTAGTAGGGCCGCACCTACGGAACAGCAGAAGCAGTCAAGTTACCGCAGGTGCGAAAGTCGGGGCTGGCAGTGTCTTCTTTAAGAACGAGGGTTTGGCTCTATCTCATTTCATTTTCGCCCATGGGAGCCGATTTTGGAGCACGTTGGAGTTCCATCTTCATCAATCATAATGGGGTAAGTGATTTCTTTACAAATTTTGAGTTAAATACATGAGTGTACATAGATTCGAACATGGAAACTAGTAGAATTTGGGATTTTGAAGAAAAACCTAGAAATTGGTATTCTTAGATTTTAACCACGAAATTGGACATGGAATTGAGAATAAATTATATATTTGAGTTCGTAAGATTATGGGTATCTTCGAAAAATTTCGGAATCCGGGCACGTGGCCCCGAGGGTGATTTCTATCGACTTTCCTAGCGGAGTTGGGAACTGTTGTAAATAGAATTGTTATGAGTATTAGAGTGTATTTTCATTAGTTTGTGCATTGTTTGGCTAGTTTTGGAGCGTTGGGCATCAGTTTGAGGTGCTATATTGGTGATTCCGATTATGGAAGTTCGGAGCGAGGTAAGTCTTCTTTCTAACCTTGTAAGAGGGAATTAACCCCATAGGTGAACCAAATTGTTATGTGCTTCTACTTGTGGAGTCTTCGTACGCACGAGGTGACGAGAGTCCGTATGTAGCTATAAGTTATGCCTATGTCCGGGTAGTTTTAGGCTCACGTCATGCCTTGTTGATATTGTTATTTATTTATGCTTATTTTTGCCTTGAGAGGGAGCGAGATTGAGTTTGCTTACTAAATATTTTGAAAGGAGCTGAAATTGAAGAATTTAATATTTAAAAGGTTTCATTTGAACTTCGTAAATTCGAAAAGAATTGAGGAATATTATAATAGCTTAAGAAATCTATGTGTATCTGCATCGCATGTATGTTTCGCGAGCTGGGTAATTTTCTTAAAAAGCTACAAGTTGAATTTCCCCCATTTAGCAAAGAATTAAGAAAGAGATACGATTTTAATGTTAAATTTATATTTGACCGCGTCACAGGTATGATTCTCAAGCGGGGTAATTTCTTAAATTTATATTTGACTGCGTCCCATGTATGATTCGTGATTGGGGAAATAGATGCATCTATTGTTTGCGTTGTTCGACCCTCGAAAGTGCACAGTTCACATTTATATTGGATCGGGCCGAACGTCCTCTGTGGAAATTATGTGTGATAACTGGAAACCCTTTTTATAATTTGTAAAAATTCATCGCTGAAAGATCATTTGTTTTAAATGAAGGAAGTGTTTTGGGGTTCCTTAATAATGATGAAAGAATTGTTCAGCTCTCTTCTTGCTCTGAGTTTTGTTGTTATCTCTACATATCATTTTAAATTAGAACCTCATATTATGATATTATTGGACCACTAGTAAGTGTCAAAGTCGACCCCTCGTCACTACTTCTTCGAGGTTAGACTGGATACTTACTAGGTATGTGTTGTTTTCGTACTCATACTACACTTGCTGTGCATTTTAGTTGCACATGCACATGCGTGTCTAGTGTCCCAGTGGATGCAACGGCATGATTGATACGGAGACTTAGGTGAGCTGCATCTCTCAAGATGACCCACAACCAGCAAAGTTTCCTTTAGAGTATTCGTAGTTCCTATTCAGTCCAAATTGTATTCCGGACATTTATTGTATTTTATTTTATTCCTTAGTAAACTCTCATGAACTTGTGACACCAGGTTTTGGGATGATTATGGATTATTCAAAATTGTTAAAAAATTATTATTTATTTGTGAAGTCCATGTTTTACTATTAAATTGAAGAAAAATCATGATTTCTAAAATACTAAAACGAGAACTAAATTGATTATTTAGTGTTGGCTTGCCTGACAATGATGCCTGGCACCATCATGACCTTTAATGGAATTTGGGTCATAACTGTAAGCACGTGACTTTTGCCCTATACGAAATACTCCTATAAAATCCCAAGAAAATAGATTTTTGTTAATTATTTTCCATTTTATAGGATTTTTATTAATTGTTTGCATTTTGTGCACATTTAATTTTTATTTTAATCATGAAAAAATACCAAAAATATTATGCATCTGCATTTAGGATTTGATTTTAAATTCTTAGAATTAATCAGTAATTATTTACTTGATAAAATTTGAAAATTACAAAAATAGCTCATTTTTACATGTTTTGTCTGTTAATTTTAGTTTATTGATTTTCCTCTTTTAATTTAGAATTAAGTAATGTTTAAAATTTTTATAATTAGTTAATTACTTTAATCTCACATTTTTAGGTAATTTAGGATTTTTTTAATTATTAGGTTTTTAATTAAAAAAAAGGAAAAACAAGGGAAAAGAAAAGGAATTTAGAAAAGAAAAGAAAATTGAAGAAGAAACTCCTTTTTTTTTGCGGAACTGGGCCAACTCCAATACACCCAAATTTGGCCCAATATTTTGTCTCTACACAAATTAATTCCCCAGCCCAAAACACCCATGACCTGATCCGGATTGGCCCAAACCCTCTCTTTAAAACCCCACGTTCCTAAAATCTAGGGTAGAGCTTCCCCTTCAGATTGAGAACAAAAATGGCGCATTCCTTTATCTTCACAAAAGAAGAACCAGCGAAGAGGGCACAATCAGATAGAGACCAAAAAAGAGAGAGACTCTCGAACCAAAAAGAAAAAAGCGTTGTTCTTCAATCTTCCTCCCGATCTCTCTCGATTGAACACAAAAACGGACTTCATACTCTTCGCTTCAACACCCAGTAACGACCACACAAACGCCCCCATCGTAAAATCATCAAACCAACCCCAAATGGCCATGAAACTGACCAAAATTCCAGCGAAAAATAACACCCAAAAACAGCTCCAAATCCGGAATCGAACCCAGATTTGAGACTTCTAAAAGGACTCCAAAAAACACAAAATAAAGAAAAACAGAGATAAAGAAAAAAGAGAGATCTTCGAGCTCGATGAAGTTGTAGAACTTGGCTCGAAGCTGTTTTTCGGATTTTTCTTCCCTTGGTTTGTTACTGTGTTGTTGTTGTACCTGCTATATTTGTGGATTTTCTCTTTGCTTTGCTGAGTTCCATATCATTCAACGTCCACTGTATTCCGTTTCTTCTATCTTTCTTAAAGGTATTGTCCCGTAAACTTTGCTCAAATTCGGATATGTCGAAGATTAATATATGGATGTGATTTTCATTGTGATGGTTAGTTGAGTACGATTTATGGTTTATACATATGGATTGTTTGAGCATATTTTCTTTTCTGTTCATTAGTGGAATAATTAGTCTTTGTTATCTTGTTGGTTTTAAAATCTTAACCAGAACATTGTGATTCACAAAAGTAAAATGTGTGTATGATGTCGGACATCAAAGGTGAAAGTAAGAATTGGCATACCATATGCGAAGCTTTTCCGGCTAGAAATGAACAACAGAGCTTTACAAATTTGTTTAAATCTCTATGTTAGTAATTATATATTATTTTTGGCTAAATATGTTGTCAGTAATACTTCACATAGTGCTTACAACTTAAAGCAAAAATGTAGACAGTGTAGGTCACTTGTTAATTATCCTAAATTAGTTTAGAAGAAATAATTTAATATCGTAGCTTGCTTGAGGCGCGATTAATAAACCATTGTGACTATGGGTACGGTTCCCGTGATATAGTTACGAGGCCTAATTCCAAAACTCGGGGGTGTATTTCATATGACCCGATTATAACAACTTCGAATAATAAAACTCTTTGAAATAATTTGAGGCGTGCCATGTCAAATAAAATCTCAAAACTCATGGCCCTCACTTAATTAATTTTAGCTCTTTAAAAATTCGAGGTGTGCCGTTAGTTGAATTTTTCATGGACCTCCCAAAGTTAAAAATGCGTAGTTATTTTAGGCGCGCTATTTTAATAATATTACCTTCCTAAATTCGGGTGCGCATTTATGTGACCCAAATCCAAATCTCAACAACGCTAAATAGATGTGTCAGGGACCCGCGGGTGCATTTATGTGACGTGGTCGAAGATGTGTTTTAGTTGACGTTGAATCTTCCTAAAAATATTTAGATAAAAGCGGTTATAAAGTTAAAATTGAACCATAGGCTAAAACATGTATTAAAAATCAGATAATAGGCCAATTATAACAATTGAGCAACCGTGCTAGAACCACGGAATCCGGGAATGCCTAACACCTTCTTCCGAATTAACAAAACTCCTTTCCCAGATTTCTGGTTCGCGAACTATAATACAGAGTCAACGTTTTCCTCGACTCGGGATTTGAACCGGTGACTTGGGACACTGTAAATTATCTCAAGTGGCGACTCTGAATCTTTTAGTAAATAATCTCGTTTCGATTGTCACTTTAAGTTGGAAAAATCTCCTCTATACACTCATTCTCGGGGGTGTAGGTAAAAAGGAGGTGTGACAGCTCTGGAGACTCTGCTGGGGATCGAACCTAGAATCTCTGGTTCAGGGTTCAGAATTCGAGCTTAGATGAATTGTTGTATTTGGTTTTATCCATTATCTGATTTTATTACATGTTTGGATCTAATGTGCTAAATGTTGCTTTTACCGCTTTGATATTATCTGAACTGTATATAAACTGCTACGAAACCCTTCTCTTCTCATCTTCGGGGATGTGCTCGCTTGTCGAGACTCCCTATTCTGTTAGTGTCATACCTTGAAATAAGAAAGAGGCTCGGACAAGTTACTAAGCCGGATGACCTTTTGGTTTCCGGTACGTAGCCCCCT